TCAGACGTGACTTTCCGATAAAATATGGTCGGCGAGGTAAGCCAAGGGTGGTGCATGCCAACAGGCTTTGGCGTTATCACGGTCCAGGACATTTCAGTTGGGATGAAGTGGACAACAAATGATGCTGCTGAAGACATGTCACCTGAAAAAGCCAGCAGTAAAGAAGAAACTCTACCCGGTTTTGAGAAGGGAAACAGTGAAGCCCTTGATGAAGTTACTACCACTGATGTGACTGTTACCAATGGTAGGACGTTTCCTGATGAAGCAGATGAACCCCACATGAAACAGAAGCCAACGAGAAGGAGACCAGTATGGAAGAAGATACGTCCCGTAAAATTAAGATACTTTGTTGAATTGTAATTTTGTGTTTGTAAATTCTGTACATTTAATTAAGTTATTGTGAATTGGTTATTGGTTTAATGTAAGTGGCTATTGTTCGGGACGAACAATACTAAGGAAGGGGCAGTGTTACGACAGCGGAGGTCACGTGAGGGTAGTAACACGTCATGCACTTCTAGAACGTTCATGAAACCTCGAGAGGTCACTAGATTCGGTAATCTTGTACATATAAGACGGTCAAGACGTGACGGCAACAATGGTAAGTGAACTGCGGACAGAGAGAGAGTATTGTTGAGTCGAGCACGTGAGACATTCGTTGTGAATTTTAGCGTTTGTTATAGCGCGACTGTTGAAATTAAGTGTATTGCAAAGTTGTATTCAGAAAGAATAAACCAGTTTTATTTAAGAAAGGCCTTATATCGGTAAAGTTTCTTCGGAACGAATTTTTACGGAAAATTAACTAACGACCGGAAGCGTAACAATATTATATTATAATAAGTTTTATTAAAACTAGTAAAAGTGAGGCTGCTGTTTTCCCTTCTGTTGGTTACCAAGGAACGGCTAGTGTTTCCCACATTTTCAGTTTATTGTTAGAGGAGTTTTTCATTTTATTTATTTTTATATTATTTATAAATTGACGGGCCAAGGAACTTCACTCAAACTCGAAGAGTTTTTCAGCCGGTGTCTCAATTTTGTTAAGCCTATAATGGATATATGCACGGACATTCACTTAACTTACAATCATTAAAGTTTAAGAACATACTTTGTATTTTCATTTAAAACATTAATAATAGCCTTAAAATGTCTAGGTTACTATGGAACTTTGAATTATGTGCTCAGTGTAAGTGTAAAAGACATAAATTTTTTGCACTAACTTTAGAAGTTTTATTAAAATTTAAAAGTTTAAACAGAGCATGAATGGACTTCTTTCAATGTGTCACCTTCACAGCGAATGTTATAAATGAGAAACTATAGCCCGAGCGCTTTTGTAAGGTAAACCTTTCTTCAAAGTTCGATAGTTTGCCGTCTAATTTTGGAAAGTGCTCGGATTATAGGGTTTCTTATTTTTATCTTCCATGGATTTTTTGTTTTACATACCTGTTTTCTTAATATCATGCATCAGCAGTGACATTTGGTAAGCTTATTACGTCTAAATTGTAACACAACAGTGTGAGACTGGTGTAGTAAATCACTACATGTATGATGTATATTAAATTTAAAAATAATTGGTATAGGCTTAACACTAACAATACCACCTGGTAAGATGTAAAGATTTTAGTTAGCTCGTTTCTTATCAAAACTTAGTTACTGTCAGCACTGAGTTTTAGTAAATCAGTTTATTTTATTTTCTGAAAAAATAGGATGAAATAAAAACGTGTGAACTCTGTTTTTGAACAGTTACTGGTTAACCTTGTGTATTGTTAATTATTCATGTTCTTATTCAGTACAAGCAGTAGTCTAACACAGTGATAATTGACAGAAGTTATAATTTGTATAATCTCTATTTCTAGCCCCAGCTTAATCATTTGAAAATCTGAGTGTGTTTGTTTGTCCTAATTTCTTTAACTGCCCTTCTTGTACTATTATTGGGTTACACTGGCAATAAGATAGACTACAGTACATGTAGCTGTGAGTCTTAGTACTAGTACTTAGAATTACTAGTAGTACAAACTTTTAAAATATAAAATAGCAAAGGAAGTTCGATGGCAGTATTTTAATTTTTAGATTTAGATAAACTATTTTTTTAAAATGCAGGAAAATATGTTGTAAGGTAAAGCAAGAACATGGAAGATCATATGACCTGTTGAGTATATCTCTAATTTTTTATCAATGAAAGCATATTAAAATATAAACTTTCACATTTGTGTGATTACTATTCAAGTAATATTTAAGTTAATCCAACTAGATGTGTAAGCATGGAGACAGAGTATTTCAACCAGTTAAGTCTCTAACACTAAATATTTGGAACAAATTTGTATCTGGGTTTTCAATAATAATAAATTTTTCTTATTAACAGTGTCCTCTCTGGAGTGCAAAAATTCCATCTCAGTATGTTTAAAATTATATTAGGCTTTTTTTTGACACTGAATGTAAAAGAATAAGCCAATGAATAGTTTATTAGTAGGTAAATACAATCCACTAGTATCAAACAAGAACACATTTATATAGATACAAGATTTGATACATTCATGTGTCCTCCTCAGTCCAAAAGTTTGTCTATTACAGCTTTTGTTTATTCTAACTATTCAACTAATCAACATATTTTAATTTACATTTCACAAATCATTTTAATTTCTTCAAAGAGGACATCATCACAAGTTTTCTGGCCAAATAGTAAATGTTGAACTGTATTTCTGTTGTTTGAATTATATATATTATCTACCACACAGTGGCAAGAATTTCTACTAGTTTTTTAAAATGAGATCTGAGGACAATTATTTTGAACAAAAAATTAGTTGTGAAAATTTGTAGGAAGAAACTCAATGAACAGTATTAATTATATTTTCAGTTTGTTTCAGGCTTTGCACTACATTGCATGTATGATGCATTTTCATGTTCATCAGTTTAGGATTACATAAGTAACTTAATCTTAAATTGTTGTACCTGAATATGTCTATCATGTTAAACAAAGAGTGGTTTGAAAAGGTCTTTAAAAGAACAAAACACACTGAAATAGAAAGATTAATGTCATGTGAGAATAATTGATTAATGAGTCCAAATATATTACAACTAGCAAATTCCACTAATCATCCATTTATAGTCACTGTTTTATTTGATAATATGGAAGACATCTTTGACATATATGTGAATATATCTCTGTTCTTGATTCTTTTTGTAGTTTTGGTTATGCAAAAGAATTCCCTTGATTTTGTGGTAGTGACACAAAAACAGTAAAATTCTAATCATGTTTTTGACTACATTGTATGAGTTAAGTCTTGATATACATTTTTACTAATGGCTTTAGTTAGAATTGTTATTATAATTTGCCTATTTATTAAAAAAAAACTTGTTATTTTTGCAGATATTTCATGTAAGTGGGTGATTGGAAGAATTGAGTTTTTATCCAAAAGTAGTTGCTCTTATTAACCAACAAAGAGCACAATCTTGGAGCTCCACTAAAGATAGTGTTAAGAACTATCGAATTGGTATATTGTACAGTAAGTAATATACTTTGCTACAATTCTTGGTGGTTTTCTGGCCAGGTAAGAATTAATTTTACTTTTATTAATATCAACTAACTTTATTATTTGTCAAGTGCATTATAATCTAGATTAATAAGATATTTATGCATATTACATTGGGATTTGTCTTTCAGTTGCCTTAACGAATATCAAGACAATTTTTTAGTCGTTATGTTCATTAATGTATTTTGATGATATTTTTGAGAAAAATATGTAATCAAAGTTATTGTTCTTATCACTTCCACAGATTCATATTCATTTCTTGTAAATAACCTATTACAATGAATCAAGATATTAAGAAATCTGCTATGAGCAGGGTTTCATCCTAGAATCTTTGACTTGGTCCTCTGAGACAAATGCTCTACCTACTGAGTTATCAAGATTTGAGTCTGTTACAACAGTCCTCTATTTAGTTAATGCTCCCCCTTGGTTATACAATACTACTTGATAGCTTCATGTTCACTACACACAAGACTTAGCAGCTCCACGTGATTTGGCATCTGGTACCAACAATATAATCATCCACTCATACATAGCACACTTAACCATCTGTCAAGCCAAACATTCAAATAGATGATTTACCATCTATTAATGTGGAATTGAATGACAAAAAATTGTGTACCATTATGTAAAATCAGGATCATAATAAACATGATAAAGCTCACTCTAGTGCTGTGAGACAGGTGTGGTAAGTCTCATGCAGATAATTCACACTCTTACTGCTATAACATGTTTACATTAAATTGGGACTTATGTAAATAAAAAAAGGTTTTTCTCCATGCAACATACTAAAATTCAATGTATTAACACTGCAAAAGTGAGATTTGCTTTTATTGTTTTTGGAGACTGTTTTTGGCTCTAATATTTGGAAGTGTTTTTGCTAGTGTGCACTATATCAACAATTAGACAGTTTTGGCTGTTTCACTTCAGCATTTTTCTAACGTAACTAACAATTAAACTTTTCAGACTTAGAATAGATTCTATCCAAAACTGAGTAAAAAAAATAGTGGTTTTCTTGTACATATAAATTCAACTTTATGATACTCAGATAATATTTATTTTGTTAAGCAATAACAAGTGTTTTGGTTAGTACTCACAAAACATTCTTGGTGTTTGTCTCTAACAAAATGCTTATAACTTCTCAACTATCCATACAGTCATTTTTGTTTGAAACAGTGTAGGTAGTGAAAGTCAATTAAATGCTTAATTTATGATCCATATATTGTACGGCTTTAGTGTAATAAAAAAAAATTGATTTCATGTTTATGTGAACTTCCGATTGTGTTTCCCTTTGCTTTTGAGCATCAACTCTTCAATCATTCATAATTTCAGCCTCACATTTCCCTATATAAGCCTATATTTTTGAAGTGCACCAATTGTTTTTGTGAAAATGACTATAAAAACCGATATTTTGTTGAACTTGAACAAAAAATGTTTAAATTTGCATGATAAAGTTTTTGAGAGTTGGATAGAGTTCAGTATTGAATGGTATACAAGTTGCATAATTCAAATTAAATCTGGACATTTGTTAAGTTTTTACAACTAGATACATGTAATGCAATTAGTTCAGTCTGGAAAGGCTATTTATAGCCAAAAAACTATATTTTTTGTTGCTTTAACAGCCTATAAAACAACCTATAAGCTACAATGGACATTGTGAAAACTCCATCTTCAACCAATCTAGCATGTGCACCAACATGTCCATGTTTTGCAACAGTCTAATTCCATTTAATGAGTTTTGAAGAATCTCTTCAGCTTATAGTGGCAGGAGTTAAGGATAAAGGAAGCTGTTGTCATAGAGAATCTAAAACTTTCTCTCAACAAAAAAAAATGTAAAGAAACTTTTCTTCATTTTATTGGACTTTGTCCAAAAATTTCTTTGGGACACAGAGCTAAAAATCAGACTATTTTATTTTATCATGTCAGTTCTGTGGTTATTGTTGTAGTTTTGTAATGCAGTTTTTACATATTATGTTAGTGATAAAATTGCTGTAAACTGAAATTTATTTGTTTTGTGTAATAAATTATTTTAAACAGTTTGTGTGTTTGATCTCAACATGTTTATATAACTTCCATAATCATATTTAAATTATTTCAAAAAAATATAAGAAAGATACTGGAAATGTTAATGTGTATAGAGGTGAACTTATCCAAATTAATCTCCATGAACCTATATTCATTTAATTAAGAGCAAAAAAAAATGTTATTGTTTGTTAACTACAAATTAAGAGAAAGTCTGCACAATCTCTTCTAAAATTGGAAATAAAACTGTCAGTGAACTTTATATTTTTTTAATTTAAACCATAGGTGTGGAAGTTTTGAAAAAATCTTATTGTCCAAAGAACAAAATGATAAAAATTCCTCTTGTCATTCTTAGAAATGTACTTGCCCACTTACTAGTCGAACATTTCAGATTTTGCTTTCATTTAAAGTGAATAATGAAAAACAAATTCTGGGATCCACACATTGAGAAAGGAGATACAATGTACCAATGATCCAGTTCTTTGTATAACTTCTGTAGATTTAAGTCTGTAATGTTTATTTATATGTCCCCTGGTGGGATAGCTGTAAGTCTTCAGATTAACAATGATAAAATCAGGGGTTCGATTCCCCTCGTTGAACACAGCAGATACCCGATGTATTTTCCAAGTATGGCACAAGGAATCATAGGAAGACTGTATTTTTTTTTAAAGTTAGTAAAATTACAATATGCAAGCATGTTTTTGATCCATATGACTTTAAACATTGAAATGTGTATTCTATTTTTGCTATATTGTCTGTCGTTGCCAGGTGTTACAAGTTTTTTACAGTGGATAAACTGGATGTATAGAAGCATTAATAATCATATTTCAGTTATATACATATATATATATATGTATATGATCTTAATTACAAAATGCTGTAAATCTTATTTTGAGAAAATCAGCCTTGTTTTATTTTTGTGCTTTCACATGAAATGCAATGAGACCAGAAGTTTTATTATGTGTAAACCTAAAAAATCTAACTTCTCAAATTTTACAAAATCTATTTTCTGTATAGACAAAATGCATTATTTCCATAGGCCTTTTTAATCTGTTGTATATCCATCAATACAGTTATTGGCAGCTCAATTTTGTCATGAAAAGCATGCATCACAAGTTGCTTTTAAACTTATCATATATATATTTGTTCATATATTTTATGGTTTTCAAATTTTGTCACTAAGATTTTGCACTGCAACATTCAGAATATTAAACACAAGAATTGATAAATAAATCATGGTTTACATTAATTTTGCCACGAACTAAAGCAGCTTATAACTTTTGTAACTTTTATTATAATGTATATTCTTTCTAGATATGGGAGTCAAACCTTTCTGGGCTCCTACTACAGACCAAAGTAATGTAGTGATTTTGTTCCCATTAATTTAAGTATGTTTATTACTATGTATATAATGGAGTTTGTAAATTAAAGGGATGTGTGTATATAGATATATTTTAAAGGTATTCATTTTTGTGTGCATTAGTGCTAGACTTTTGCAGTTCAGAAACTTGCCTCCCTCCTTAGGAATAGACTCAGTGTTTTATTAACAACAGAACAAATGATGTGAAAACAAACTACTTGTTCAATCATCATAATATAATAGTAAAGCGTATTGTCTAGGGCATTAGGCAATATTAATTCCATATCCCTGTTGAAGATGTATTGAGTGCATTTCCAACCTGTTTAGTAAATGTTTTTTTGTTTTAGCATATACATCGAGTAGAACCTGTTTTAAAAAGTATAAAACATTGGAAAAAGATTAGAATACTTGTGTTTATAATGCTGTCAAAATAAGTTGCAAGTCCTCTAAAACTTCGTATGGATGTTAGCAATTCTATTTTTTGACATTACTTAGCTTATGTCTCTTTGAAATGTGGTACATGTAGAAAGTAATAATTTAATTATATTGTATATCTTGGATGAGTCGCCCGCTGTGACAGCGGTAAGTCTATAGATTAACAATACTAGAATCAGGGGTTCGATTCCCCTTGGTGGACACAGCAGATAGCATGATGTGGCTTTTCTATAAGAATAAATACACACACACACACATATATCTTGGTTGAAAAATAATAAAGTTGGTACTAATTGTCAATACTATAAATTTTATGAAATATACATTTGTATTAAATCAGTTTGAATTGTTACCATGTGTTCTTAAGCATTATGATTTATAAGACAAATTCAACAAGACATGTAGCTGAAATATTCTATTAGTAATTTTCTCAACTGCAGAGTGATAGAAGTGGAAAATAGGTTATGAAATTTTTTTCTTCCAGCAATACAGAATCAAGATATTTTTATAGTTGATGGAATATTTCTAGAAGTCATAATAAATTGATAAAGATACCCTCATCTTTTGATTGAATATGAATGCTTGCATAAGAATGCCACAAAAAATTTCAAAATTCCAAAAATGGTGTTTCAAACATATCACCAATATATACATGTACCAAAAACACAAAATCACTCTGTTAATCAGTGTCTCTGTCTTCACTTTGAAATGTTTCATTGTAAATACTAATACAAATATTAAATTTTCTCTCTGCTTTTGATAAACTTTGTCATTATATATGATATAATTCCTATTTTAATACTTCTTGTTTTCCATTGAACCAAAATGTTTCAATTTGGATTTAAAAGGAAAAAAAATTGCATATAAAGAGGATTTTATTGTGTCGTCAACTTTGTGGATCATTGTTTGCATCAAGTGCTGCTAAGTTATGAGTGAAGTGAATTTCTTCCCAGTTTATCTTTTGTGATTGAATTTGAAAACTTTATTGATAATGTTATTCTGACTTTCAATCATGTTTGTGAAAGGAAAAAAGAACAAATTTTGATGAAAATATGAGATCAATGAATCACGAAGTGAACACATTTGTTTACATTTTCATATTTGTTGTATACTTTTAAGCACTTGCCTATTTCAAAATAAATGAATAAAACAAATATTATCAATTATATGTCATTGTATTTCAGTGTGATACATTAAATTTAAT